TTTTTGACCACACGTTTTCTTTATTTTGTACATCAGGAAGGGGGGCTAGGGAAGGGTAAGTGGAAGGAGGTGAGGGAGGAATGGGGTACGAGCCCCCGATGGGGAGGACTGGGCTGGCTCTGCGGGCTTCTGGGGGTGGAAGCTCTCCTGCAGCCCCCCGATTGCTCCCTCTCCTCAGATGGCAGCCTGCGGCAAGTGCAGCCGGGCTGATGGCCGAGTGGTGTGATGTGCCCAGTGTGGGTACTCCGGGCAATCCAAGCCAGGACTGCTTTGCAAGCAGGGCACCCCTTAGAACTGTCTGTCCGGGGTGGGGGTCGGGACCCTTTAAGCGCAGCCCTCGGCTAGCCTGAGACAGCATCTCCACGCTCTCAGTCCTCCTTTTATGCCCTGCCGGCACTGCTTCCGGCCATCCTTAAGCCCTGTTCAGGGTCCACTTAATGTGGACATGCTAGTTCGAATTAGCAAAACGCTAATTCGAACTAGTTTTTAGTTCTAGACGCGTTAGTTCGAATTAGCTTAGTTCGAATTAACTAATTCGAACTAAGTTAGTTCGAATTAGCGCTGTAGTGTAGACATACCCTCATATATTAAAATCAGGCAATTAAAACACATGGCAAGTTTCAGGAGGAGCAGCACTAACTGAACTTAACTTTGCAGCTTTGCAGGCGGTGAAAGGGACTGATATTTTATCATGCAGGCCTTCTGAGGTCACACTCCTGTATTTTTAAAGGAAAGAGCTGAAAGGTGTGTCCTTTTTACAAACTTTGTGAGTCTGGTCCTTTGCCTCTTTGCATGTGTATTTGCACAAAACAAAGTATGGTCACATAACACCCCCTGAGCATCATGGCAAAACAAAGAGACAATTGATGGTCTAGTTTTGGATTTACGAGCTGCCCGACTTGCTGCCATTTTTGAGCCCTTTTGGGCAAACAATCCAAAGCAACATTAAATTCATGGGACTTCAGCCAACTAAATTGTTGCTGTCTATCTTGGCCAATCCCTTCAAACCAAGAAATCCCAGAAAGTCTGCACTCACTGAGGTTGAGAGTAAATTGTACTGAATAGCTTCTCCTGGGACAAAGTCACTTAGTTTAGCTTTACTCTCACCTTTCAGAGCTAATTAAGGAGAGACAATCAATGCTTGATTAAATGTATGCAATTTAAATGCAGATTACCAGCGGGATAACAACATTCCATACTGAAGCCAAGGAAATTTGTTTAGACAGCAAGTGTGGGCTGGCTGAAGTAGGTGTTGCCATTATTGCTGGTGTAGACGGTTTGGTAGGGGGTGTGTGGGGAGTGTGCACAGAGAGAAGCTGTGTTTTAACATCACATTTGTTTTTCAATTACATCAGCACTATGCATGTGAACACTCAACCTATTACAGCCCCAACCACAATTAATCTTCAGCGAATGGGCCTTTCTGGAAGTCTAAAAATTGTTGTCAGACAGTAAAATAACTTAGCACCAAATTAATTTCCACACAATGCTCTGTTTTGTCTAGAAACTGGCCTAGCTTTATTTTTGTGTCTAAAAACAATACGGCTTCATTGTTCCTGGTCACCAGCCAGATGGGATTTCTCTATACAGTATCGTATATATTACTGAGGGTGAGGGCAAGCAAGGGAAACCACTGTTCAAGGATGGTAATAGGTAATCTACAGGATTTATAAGCAGTATGTGGGCCTGACGTGTGTGCCCTAACGATGCTCATCAGTAGCAAATGCCTGTGTTTTCACCTGCTTTAATGGGGACAACTGTTCAGAGTTTAACTTGGAAGTCATCCAGCTGATACAAACACAACTGTAATTCCAGAAAAACAACTCAAAACATTCCTCTAATCGTCATGATATATTTTACTTCACAAGTCTGTTACCTAGGCCTTTCATAGGCTGGTAGGTTGAGATTTCTTTTACTAAAAACTTTGTCAGTAGTTGTGTAACTGGTTTGTGTTTTTCCCCACCATATGGTTGGAAGCAATACTGTAATTACCAAATAAACAAGGGTATGGGAGCTCTAAGACTCTCAAAACAGGCTGTAGGATTGGAAACAAAACCATATAGCAGTGTTGGGTAGTACTCAACAGCTCAAAAGGAGCTCACAGTTTCAGCTCAAGTTAAGCACTCACAAGTCTGGGTGCCACAGTTTCCAAGCCGTAATTAAGCAACATGATCCTCTCAGGTCGACAAAATAGGATAAGAAGTCACCTAGAAAGAGTCTTTCCATGAAAGATTTTAGGGATTTCCACAGGGGACTATGGGAACCAATTTTGTGAAAAACACATTTGAACCTGAAAAACATGTTTGATTAATGGTTGAGTGATGGTTCAACTGTGGGCCTAATTTTATCCGCCTTCCTCCCCCCCAATTACAATCCCAAACTTTGGTTGGTAAGGCACCTCTATCATTGTATCTTATTTACAATATACTCTGTGTATAAGCCCATGAATAACACAATTCCAGTAGCAAGTAGATCTACTGAGGCTCTATAGTGTGACTGAAAATAAATAAGCCCGCAACTTTCCAAACAGATCTCACATGACATCAATTTACACTGAATGGAGACTGGCTCCCCTACATTTTACAACACAGAGGAGGTGGAACGGATTCTTAGATGTTGAAAATGTAAGACAGCCTCAGGAAAAAAATCTGCTTTCTATTATCTTTACTATACTGTATGTCTGAAAACATTTATGGCATATGCATTTAGAATATATGCAACATTTAATAATAATCCCTTACAAATATATTAGTACATCTCATCATAAAGCATTTTATAGCACAGAGATCACTGTACCCACCACTTGTTAAATTTACTCATCTCAAGCGTAGCAACTAGTCTGTATTGTTGATGCTACACAACAGTTTTTTGGAGGGAAATGAAGACAGGGTTATGTAACTGAAACTGCAGAGGGAATGTAGTGAGGCAAAAAAAAAGGAAAGAAACCACATCCACTATAGAATTAAAGAGCTTTTGACTGGAAGGTTTAAGCATTAACTATTTTCTTTTCGGGTCAGAAGGCTGAAACATTCTCTAGTGAAACCAGATGCTCTTAGAGCAGTGGCTCCCAACATTTTCAAGGATACAGATCTCTTTTCAGTCTACTAACATTTTACAGACACTCCCTCCTCCCCCAAATAATATAGCTGTGCCTGCAGCCTGCACGTCCCTCAGCCCATGGGACTTCCCAAGCGGTGTCTCTCAGCCCACTGGGGAAGCAGCGTAGGCTGAAGGACCTGCTAGTTGCCCGCACGGATCCTCTCAGCTGAGAGGCTCCATACCGGCAGCCGGCACGTCCTTCAACCCGCATTTCTGGAAGCAGCACGGGTTGAAGGAAATACTAGTTGCAAGAGGCTCCACATGGACCCCCTGCAGTACTGCCATAGACTCCCAGGGGTCCACAGACCACAGGTTGAGAACCCCTATCCTAGAGAAAACCTGACAAAATAAGTTTACTCACTGTAGGAGGGTATTCCATAAGGTTGTCCTGGTGGAGGGTATGCAGCGTAAGTAGCAGCTTGCTGGATTCCTGAACTGTACTGGGTCTGCCCGTAGGTTGCCATTGTTGGAAAAGATGGAACCGTCAATATACGGGGATGATGTCTATTCAGAACAAGAAAAGAGACTGTCTGTAGCAATACTAATTGTATGACGTTTTCTAGAGTAAACTCACTATTCTAGTTGCAAAGACTTTTCAGTGACATTTGATTAGAATGGTGACACATGGTGTTACACTGCATATTACAGGAACATAAGATATGCTACACTGGATCAGATATTTTGCTCCAGGATGTATCCCTCTTCCGGCAGTACCACAAAGACATCACTCAGCATATGTGCACAATGCCATCCTAATGCTTGGGCACCGCTATCACCTGGGTAGCACAAACTATTTGCAACAATTTAAAAAAAGCTGACAAGCTGAGATTACAGGTTTCGTTGCAAAGTTGCAAAAACAATGCAAGTTTCATGGAATACCTTTGAAATGTCACATTTTCCTCCTTGGTCGCTTCTAAATGATTTTATGTTCAAAACAAGAAATTCTGCATTCCCAAGATAGAAATGAGTTGTATGGAGAACCTCCAGCCCTCTTCGACTCCCTGTCCAACTTGGTTAAGAAATGGTTTCCTGGGGCTAAGGCCAGGTCTACCCTACAAACTTTTGGAAGCACATGTATCTTGGTCAGGGGTAGGGATGTACAGGCAGTCCCCGGGTTACATAGAAGATAGGGACTGTAGGTTTGTTCTTAAGTTGAATTTGTATGTAAGTCGGAATTGGTACATATTGTAGGGGAAACTCTAGCCAAACATTTCTCCAGAGCTCAATTTTATTCTCCCACACCTCACTTCCCTCAGTCCTTTATTCTCAAGCTGAGGTGTCTGCTGAGAAAAACCGCTCCGCATCTCCCTGTTCTTCTGGGGGTGGGGGAGCGCATAGCTTCGCGTCTCCCTGGTCTGCTGGGGGGAAGCAGCTAGTGCGGGGTTGCCTCACCCCGTTTGTAAGTAGGGATCCGATGTAAGTCGGATCCATGTAACCCGGGGACTGCCTGTAATAGCGTAGTTGATTAACTGATTAACTGATAAGCAAAAACGTATCAGTTAATGCTATAGACTACACACCTTTCCCACCTCCTTGCCAGTACATTTTTTAGAAGGCTGGCCAGCAGCCCAGATCAGTCCTGGCTTGTGACGGGTCCAGGACCTACCCCTGCTGCAGCTCTGCATTTAAAGTGTATTAGGTGCCGGGCGGAGAGGCATCCCAGCTCAGTTCCAACTTGCACTGGGTCCAGGAGCTCAGACACCCCCCCCAGACAGGGGCTGCTGGCCCCCCCCGCCGGCCTGCAAGGGGAGCTGGTTTTTAAATGGGCTCCCATCATGGACCAGCTCCTGCCTGGCACCTCGTGCTGCTGCCTCTGATACAAAAGCAGCAGCGTGGAGTGGCCAGGGGCTCCTTGGGAATAAAGCCAGAGCACACTGGCTGCCAGCCCTACAAACCCCGGGGATTGTAGAATAGTAGACTATTCAATTAACCGATATTTAACATCCCTAGTCAGAGGTGTGATGACTTCTCTGACTGACACAGATGTGCTGGCAAAAGCCTCTAGTAAAGCATATTGATAAAACTGTTCTTTTGTTCGTATCGTTGATTTGGAATGCTGAAAGGGAAGGGGGCCACTGAAATGAGGTATACTGGCAAAACTCCGGAGCTGTGCCAGTATAACAACATCTAAACTAGGAGTGATTTTGCTGGGATAGGATACCGGTACTGCGATACTGGCAAGGGGTTCCTGGGGCAGCTCTGGTCTGCGACTTGCAGCAGAACAGGTACAAGGCTGAAGAAGCATGTTCTTTAGGCTTTTCAAGGTTGCAGTGTCCCCCAGAAAACAGTTAATCAGCAAAACAAAGTTTATAATCTATAGTACTTGCGCTCTCCTGAACGCTGTCAGACACACTCACTCGGTGGAGTAAAGATGGAGAGGACACTGGGGTACTGCTTTGCTGTTACCTGAAAAGCAAAATTAAAATGTCTCTGGTTTTCAGTGACAAGCCATTGCATGGCTAAGATGATGCTCCTGTTATCATCACTGCTCGACACACAAACTTATAAAATAACTAAGAGAATATTTGCAATTACATCATCAAGATCTTTTTGGAGAATACGAGAAGTGACAGGTAACTTTCCATTTGAATGATAATTAATAAAATCAACTTTATGTACAGCCAGGATGACTCACCTACTAATTTCTTCTTGTATGGTGCTACCTAATGGTGGGTCCAGTTCTGCAGTCATCAGCAGTCCCAGTGATTTCACACCCACTGTTTATGGTGACTATTCAGTAATATATGACATCAGTGGGACTACTTGTGTGACAATGACTGCAGCAGCAACCTTTTAGTTATGAAATAACATTTACAAAATACACCATGTTCTGCTTTTAAAATTTCTTTTCTATCTCCACCATTTGGTGTTGCACTTTCTTTAAATGCATCAAGACAAAAGTTACTTAAGTTCTGATCTCTCCGGCTATGTATACACTGGCAGCTTCTTGCACAAGAACATCTTGCGCAAGGGTTCTTGTATAAGAAGTCTTGTGCAAGAAAACATCCACACTGCCATGTGCGAGATGTGCTTTTGCGCAAGAGCGCCCATGGCAGTGTGGATGCTCTCTTGCACACGAAAGCTCTGATGGCCATTTTAGCCATAGGGCTTTCTTGCGCAAGAAATCCCTGCCAAGTGTCCACACTGCCCTCTTGGGCAAGAGCTCCTGTGCAAGAGAGCTTACACCTGTTAAAAAAAGAGCGTAGCTCTTGCACAAGATGCCCTCTCTTACCACACCGTACTGTAAATCTTCTTGCACAAGAGCAGGTGGGCAGTGTGGATGCTTTCCGGAAGAATGGCCGTTCTTGCGCAATAACCCGCCAGTGTAGACAGAGCCAACGGCAGTGTAGACAGGCAACATGAACTTCTTGCACAAGAAACTCCTATGGCTAAAATGGCCATCAGAGCTTTCCTACACTACTATGGATGCTCTTGCGCAAAAGCACATGGCAGTGTGGACGTGCTCTTGTGGAAGATTTTTTTGCACAAGAACTCTTCCACAAAAGAGTTCTTGCACAAGTAGCCGCGAGTGTAGACGTAGCCTCCTTGTACGTGACCTTGGAAAATAATGATTGCCTAGCCTACTGATTAAAATACTAGGATAGGACTGGAACTGGTAACACAAAGATTGCCTTCCAATGCACCAAATGTTTATGTTCAGCAAAATCAATAAAGTCTCTATTAGAGGCAAATTTAGACTTAATTAACAATAAAAATTAACTGTTTAGGTTAAACTTTGAGTTTCCTGATGACACAGGCATACATTCACTACAGTAGATATGCATGCATTTGCCTACGTCTACACTACTGCCGAAAGTCAACCTAAGCTACACAACTCCAGCTACATAAATAAATAATGTAGCTGGAGTGAACTTAATTTTGAGTTACCACAGGATCTACACCACTGAGGGTCAATAGGAGAAACTCTCTCATTGACTTATCTTACTTTTCTCATTGGGGGCAGAGTACAGGGTCAACTGCAGAGCAAATTGTGGATGATTTGCCGGGTCTTCACTAGACCCACTAAATGAATCATCAATGGATTGATCTTAGACCATAGATCCCTGCTGTAGTGTAAATGTAGCCTTAAGGTGCACTCACAATGCCACCTTGTTTACTAAGCAGAATGCCTCCACAATACCATCCAACATTTATGTACAGCCAGGATGTACAATGAATCAGAATCATAGTATCAGGCAGAACACATCCACGATGTTCCCGGTGTCATCAGTGCTATCCAACATGGTAGGTCACTGCACAATGTATCAAAGCACACATCTAATGTCATATTCTCCGATACTAGCAGTGTCATTTAATGTATGCAGGAGAATTCATATACATCACTGACCACTACATGATTCAGGGGCAGCCCCAGTGATGCAAATGCCAACATTCACATGGGATTTGCTACACTGGATTTGTAACTTATCAGGCAGAATAAAACGCACTGGCACTGCGGTCCACAGACCAGGGAGGGGTTACCTGCAGTGCCTCCCACCATATGCAAGCTGCCATGTGATACATTAGGCAGGAAGCATCTACAGCACAACTGAATGTATCAGCTAGAGGACATACCCGCAATGCTACAAGAGAATTATCCTCATTAAGAAGTCATTTAAAATTATACGACTGCAGTGTGTTAAGCAATTCATAAGTTAGTGAATTAAACATTTTAAACAAGCTTTATTTAATGAAATATGCAAATATGTATAAAATCTAAATATATGGAAATAATCCTATGGGCTCAAGTAACTTGTCATTCCATTAATCGAGAGAGAAGATTTCCAAAATATACAACATGCTCTTATATAAAAGATTCACCCTTTCTGGTCCCTCCTCCATCTTTCTCTTAGTAATTAAATTAGGATTAAATTAAGCTATTAACAAAAAAAAAACCATTAAACCCAATGGATTTTTTTAAATACACACAATAATATTATATTATCTGTTGTAATTTTTTCTGTTCCCTTTTTTGTTGGGAGCCATGAACATGTTAGCAGAGAACAGATACTTGATAAACAAAACTATTAATAGTAATTAAAAGGGAAATTATTCTCTTACTAACGTTTTAAATGTCTACATTCTCCATTAATATTACTATTACTGAGTAAATAGATGCATTTCTTGAAAAATAATTATTTATTAGAGCTGTACACTTTTATGAACATTTTTGCAAAAAAATCATCCTTTTTTGGTTAAAGTTTTGAACTGTCTATGAAAAGTTTACTAAAAAAAAATCAAAATTCAGGAAATTTATATAAATTATTCATTTGCATATCTATTTATTTAGTTGTGTCAGTGTTCCTATATAGAATACTGCTAGTTCTTATAGAAGTTAAAAAACGTAAGTGACTACATTTAAGTCCTTTTTGCCATATTTAGGCATCTAACACACAACAGCCTGTCATTCAGGCCTGAAATCTGGAAGCAGTCTTTGACTGCTCTCTCCGCTCTCTCTCTCGCCCCACACACTGAGAACATGCCCAGATTCTCCCATTTCCTTCCCACACAATGTCGATGAGCCGTGGTTTTTTTTAATGCCTTTCAACCCCCAATTTTAATTCCTTGTCACCTCTATCCTTCTGGTGTTCCTGTCATCCACATCACCTGCCTCTGCACTATGTGAGAAACATAGCTACTAAGATCATATTCCTTGTTAATTGCTCTGACCCAGGCCCACTGGTGGGAGGAAGGAAGTGGGCAGATGCCCAGGGCCCAGTGATTCAAAAGGGTCCAGGGCTCTTGTCTGCCACTACTGCAGACGGAGCCCCAAGCTCTTCAAATTGCTGCCAGAGCCTCATGCAGCATGTTCCAGGCAGCAGAGAGGGCTGTGTGGGGGAGGCTAGTCCTAGCCCCAGCCTTGCTTCTTCCTCCTGAGTCGTCTTTCCCTCCTTCCCTTGCCCAAGTGCCGCCAAGTTGTTTGGCCCCACTACTCTGAACACATCACCTCCTTCTTTGAATCCCTGTTCCACTACATGTCACTTTCTTCCACATCATCTTCTGCACATAATTCAACTTCTTGTCCTTCCCTTCAGAGCCCTTTGTGATTCCACTCACTACCTATCCTCCACTCTTCCCATTACCCTCTTACTTCTGCCAGTTATAAGAACAGCCACACTGGATCAAACCAAAGGTCCATTTAGCCCAGTATCCTGTCTTCCAACAAAGGGAATGAACAGATCAGGTAAACATCAAGTGATCCATCCTGTCACCCATTCCCAGCCTCTGACAAACAAAGGCTAGGGACACCATACTTGCCCATCCTAGCTAATAGCCATTTATGGATCTATCCTCCATGAATTTCTCTAGCTGTTTTTTGAACCTTGCTATAGACTTGGACTTCACAACATCCTCTGGCAAAGAGTTCCACAGGTTGACTGTGTGTAGAAACACTTCTATTTATTTGTTTAAATATGCTGTCTTTTGATTTCATTTGGTGATCCCTAGTTCTTGTGTTACGAGAAGTAAACAGAAAAATTCCTTATCTACTTCATGTCACCCTTGACAGAGAGAGTGAAATCCCGACTCCATTGAAATCAATGGCAAAACTCCAACTGACTTCAAGAGGGATGGCACGTCAACCCACTGTTAATTCACTGCCATCAGCACATCATCTTTGGGGCTATCTGCCACATATGAAAAGCTCCTCCAGTGGTGACCCACAAGACCACTACCCTTTCTACATATAAATCCACCCTAAAGGACCAGTTCTACCTTGATGTCTAGGAGGAACTTGTCAACTGATAATGGCAAAGGAAGGATGGACTCAGGTCCTATACCTTTAAAAAAGCAAAACCATTGTATTGAATGTTGCATCTAATCATCATCTATTCATAATTTGTTGCCTTTTTTGTCCTACCCTTCATTAGTCTTCCTGTACCTCTTATATGTTAGAATGCAACATTTCCAAGCAGAGGCTAACACATTCTCTATTTGTATAGCACATAATGCTTGGGAGGTACTGACAGAAACAAAGCAATAGAAAGGACTCCTCCAGTGGCCTGGATAAATTGTTTAGGTGAATGCGGGATTCTCAAAGCAACCTAAAGGAATCGGCCATCATCTTGGCACCGAGCACCTAAATCCCTTTTTTGAACTTTCCAGCCCTTCTCCGCCTCACTTTCTCCATCTGTAATAGGAGAATGATACTTACCTATAATACGCAGGTGCGGCTGTAAGGATTATGTCACGTTTGTAAAATATTTAGACAATAAAAAGACACGTTAGCGATAAAGAGCCATAGAAGAAAGATTCTCTTAAAAAACAGGGCTTACCTGAATGAGCAATTTGCTTGGACTTCCCTGAAAGAAAGTTTTTATACAATTACATTTTTATATTCTGAAAATAAATTATTACTTTTTCTATAGTGCTTTTCCTCCTTCTTTCCCCAAAAAACACAGTATTTTTGTAAAACACATCCTTTCCATTTTTTCATTTTTAATGCCCTGTATGCATGAATATGGTGGGAGACGTACCAGGTGAAAAGCAACCGGTTCCTTTTCTGGCTGCATATTTTTTAACCTTCTAAACTGTCTCAAGACTGAATATGTTGTGACAGGGCACTCTGTATGCTTTATGAGAATATGCTTATGAATATGAATATGACATAACTGAAATATGCTTTGTGTAAAATGCCTCATGTAAGATATCATTGGAAAGTTTGTAACCATGGGAAAATGGTTATCCCATTTGTATGCATGTATCATTCCAGTACTTGATGTTAGAAATATGGAAAATAAACCTGTTATTAATGTAGTCATGCTAAGGGCCATTAATGGGTCTTCAGGATCTTCATGACCCATTGGCAAGAAAACGCTGTCAATGGGCTTGTTTTTCCTGTAAATCTGTGAGAAAGGGCTATGGTTGGCCCTACCAAGACATGTGCTCATATCACCTGATGCTGACACCCATCTTGGGGGCTGTAGTTTTCCACTTAAAGCGAGAAAAACGTTTAAAGTGAAAACAAAGGATTCCCTCTTGTCAAAATCTATACAAAGGTAGGAATCCAAACAATAAGGGCAGCTGCCAGTTGTCAGGACATCCCTGCTTGCCACACAATATGGCTTCTGGAAACATTGACTGAACAAGGAGAAAGATTGAGCCCAGACCGGGAGACTTTTCAGTCTGGGTGTGTCTAGACTACAGGATTTTTCCGAAAAAAGTGGACATTTCTTGAAAAAACTTCCCCTGCATTCTTTCAAAAGTAAATCGAAAGAATGCGGCAGTTTTTTCAAATGCGGAAAACCTCGTTTTATGAGGAAGAATGTCTTCTTCGAATGTGCTCTTTCGAAAAAAGGCGCTACGTAATGCAAACTGTGCTTTTTAGAAAGAGAGCATCCAGACTGCCAGGGTGCTCTCTTTCGAAAAAGTGGCTTGCTTTTTCGAAAGTACTGGTTGTAGTCTAGACACTCTTTTTCAAATGAGGCTTTTTCGAAAGTATCTTTCGAAAAAGCCTCTTTTGAAAGAAGCTTGCAGTCTAGACATAGCCTCTGTGAGAGAAGCTTATCAGAATAACTGAGGGTGAGATATTACAGTGTCTTAGTCTATTAAGCTTAGCTTACATGTTCAGTTTTATTTTGTTTAATAACCTACATTCTTATGTTTGTTATCTCTTATGGCCACTTAAATCCTACCTTTTACAGTGAATAAAATCACCTTTGTTTATTTATTAAACCCAGTGTAAGTGTCCATCATCAGCCAAATTTTTTTGGTAAAAAATGACCCAGCAAAGAGGGGATTGGCTTATGTATGGGTCATTGAGTTTTACCATTTTTTTTTAACCTGGGCGGGAGGGCGGATCAGCAAACTTCAGTTCCCAGCCCAGCAGGGCAAGCCACTGATGTGCTGGGACTTGTCATGTACATGGAATTCTGCACATAATATTTTCAGATTGCTTAGAAACTTAGGAGGTCCGGTGATCAACATGCATGAAGAGATGAAATTACACAGTAGCAGACTGACACCAGTACCATAATACCATCATTCACTATTTTTTGGATTGTCTTATAAGGTCTGGCATTTTGTGAAGCGGAAGGGTCAAATTTCATTCAGATACAATTTACATAAAAATAACATTTTAGTACTTTTTTTTTTTTTAAAGAAGTGATTCCTGAACTAACATTTCATCATCTATAACAGAAGTCAGCAAACTTTGGTTCTCAGACCATTAGGGTAAGCCACTGGCGCGCCAGGAGGTTTGTTTGCTTGCAGAGAGAGCAGAAACAGAGCTCCTCAGCTCCCATTGGTTGCTGTTTGCTGTTTCCAGTCAATGGGAGCTGTGGGAAGCAGTGCCGGCCAAGGGATGTGCTGGCTGCCACTTCCTGCCACTCCTATTGGCCAGAAACGGCGAATCGCAGATACTGGGAGCTGCAGGACTCCATGCCTGCAAATGCGCCAGGTAAACAAAACACTCCAATGTGCCAGCAGTTTAGGCTGGTGGAAGTTTGCAAACCACCGATATACAGTCAGCTTATGAATGGGTCATTGTGATTTTTTACAGTTTTTTTTTAACTTGGGAGAGGGTTGGCTTAGGAACAAATGGGCTTATGATCAATTACATACGGTAACTGTTACCTGGGGAGGCATGGAGTGTGTGCACGTCTCTCTTTAGCCCGATAAAGATAAACACGAGCTTACCTTGTATATCAGATTATACAGAGTTAGATTTATCTGGGATTCAGGTCCCACTGAGGCTCTGAATTTGGGTGCTGAGGCAAGTCCCTTTGGCTGAGCCTTCCCAGAGCTGATCTGATCTTAGTGTCTGTATTATGCTGCAAAAGGCTGTGACCCCATCTCTGTGTCAGTGCTGTGGGAAGCCAGAGGGGCACCCAGGAGGCCAGGAAAGTAGGCTCAGTGGTATTGCAGCACATCAAGTGACAGTCACAAGGAGGTCTCTGTTACTCAGGGGTGGGCAATAATTTTTGATGGGGGCATTCCAAGAATTTGGTAAGTGATCAAGGGCCGCTGGGGTCTGGGATGAAAGTTAGGAGCAGATGGGAACTTGGGATAAGGGACTGGGATAAGGAGGGGGTGTGGGATATGGGAAGGAGTTTGGATGAAAGAACAGGTTGGGACCAAGTATGAGGAACTAGGATGCAGGAGAGAGTGAGAGATCTGGGAGGGTTTTGTGACCTGGGGTAGAAGTGGAGGAGATGGTGTAGGGATTTGGGTTGTGACTGGGGGTAGGGAATTGGGGCACAAAGTCTTGGAGGGGTTTGTGAATTAGAAGGAGAGGTGTAAGAGGGTCAGGAAAGGTATACGGGTGCAGTTGTTGTGGGTTACATGGGCTAGGGGTCAGGGAAGGGGGGGGGGGGGGGAGGAGCTGGCCAAGAGGTGCTTACCTGAGCAGCTTCCAGCCAGCAGCTCAGCAAGTTCCTCAGCCAGGGTCCCCGCCTTCCATGTCCCTGTACTGACTGAGGAGGCCATGTGTGACTCTGAATGCTGAGAGCCCAGGGGAGGGACGGATATTTTGCGCGATGCTTGTCCTGCAAGCAGGCAGCTCCCATAGGCCTGTCTGCAAAATTTTGCTGAGGGCGTGGGCAGTGTGCAAAGCCTCTCTCTGTCTCCCTCAGGCTCTCAGCATTCAGACAGCTGCTCTGAGTGCAGAGCCGTGGCAGGGCAGGCGAGGAGCCTGGCGAAGGCTCCTGTGGGCTGGAACCGGTGGCGTGGTAGTTTGGATTCGGCCCACAGGCAATATTTTGCTGCCCTATCACATATGTATTCAATACATTCTTTCAGAATGAGAAATAGGCAATCTGTGGGTATGCACATGTATGTACAACATACATTACTACACTGCTTTGTATCTTTACTTTAGAATACAATCCCTTTTTCTTAGGTTGATTTATTTCTTGCAATGTAATTAATGAAATTAAAATATAAACCTTTTGATCTAAATATTCAGGATTTCATACTGTGTGTATGTATTTATGCTGAATTTGCATATGCATGCACAAACATTGTAACTGAACTTCCAGCTGTGACAATTCCATGGGCAACTAAAGCACACAAATTTATACACATTTTTGCACGTGAAACTCTGGAAATCTGCGCCCTATCATTTGCAGAAATACTTTCATTTTCTCCAAATCAGTAAGTAATGTTTTCAAATGAAAGAATATAACATACAATGTTATTTGGGAGAGCTTCTGATAACATGAAAAAAAGCTACAATATTTCTGGGAGAAATCCACTAACATTAAAAGTCACTAGCACAGTCATATTCAAATACACAGATTTTTCTTTAATGATTTTTATGTATCATAATAAAAGTTAACATTTTAGAGACATAAGGGAAGAAAATGTCTTTGCCCCAAAGAGTCTATATGTTTTAGCTCTAACATTTTCTATGGATGTATACATTTTAAAGGTTTTTCCTCTAGATTCTGATCCTTCCAACAAGCCTTTTGAATTGGCGGTCATGCTTTTCATGCTTTAATTCAACATAATTCCTAAAGGCTCAACAAACACAGATACAACATGTGGCTTCTAACATACGCAGCAACATACAGTGGCTCCTAACAGCCTGCAAATAAAGGGTTAAACACGATAGTTAAACATAATAGCCAGTGCCTTTTGCTAACTCTGCTCCAACCGGAAGGCTGAGGGATCCTGACCACAGCAAACAATAGCTGGAATTGTACTGGCGAGAACTAGTTTGGCTGCATCATTTGCCAATAATTTTTAAAACAGATTTAGCATTCTTCTGTTTCCTTCACTTGAACTATATAATAGAGGAGATGGGGGGAGGGGAAAGAGGAGGAGAAGAGCAGATAAGTTTCCATCATAGCCTCAACCACTGAAAGAATTTGTCCTTGGTACCTGCCAAATATGAAACTTCAGACCGCAGATCTGGAGACTAACTATTCAGAAATGACAGCAATGAACTCAGCTGGACATGAACTGTGGCACAGCAACTGCTTTGGTAAAAGGGTTTCTATTTGTATCCTGGGTGATTAGGAATGGCAGCCTCTGTGCTTTCTCCCCTTCTCCCTCCCCCCTAATTGTAACAATATTACTAGAACTCAGAGTTCAAATTAATGCTGCCCTTAGGGGTTGATAGATTGGTGAGGGCCAAAAACAGAATAGCCAACTGTGGATTATACCCATGTTACTCTGATGTGCATGTATCTATACAATTCCATTTCTAATTGTATTCCAATCCAAATCAAACACAACTGGACTGGTTACAAAAATATCAAATAGAAATCAAGGGACTAATTCTCCCAAGCAGAGGCCTTAGAGCTGGTCAGTTCCTTTTATTGTCATATACACCATTGATGCTAACAGTCTAAAGTTAATAAACCATAAGCAAAAGCGACAGCCTACCTTCTATGTCATCTGGAGCCGTGGCATTAATGTAAGAAAGGTTACGCTTCAGTCTATCGAGGCCCTCTCTATTTACAGTCAGGTTGGGCGATATCACTAGATCTAGCATTTCCTTACACCTGAAGGAAAACAAAGGAAAATATAATTTATTCATTAATTATGCATGCTTACTAATGATTCCAATTTTTTTCCTAAGAGTATAAATATTAAAGCTGATTACCTAAACCCAGACCTCATATGAATTCTACATAATAACATTCACTAAAGTTTTCATCAAAGGGAAATGGTGAATTAAAATGAAGTATTTGTTTCCTTGGAGATTACACCCATTTGATTAATGGTTCCTTCTCTTCCTGGATTTTGCCATCACAAAATTAAATTTCTGAATCTCTGAAATGCTGACAGAGCAAGCAATATATTCAAGTATTAACCATACCTCCTGATGTGTGCAGAGGTACCTGATAAAGCTCTGGGAATAAGAAGTTAGTGTTGAATACTGAAGCTCAGGGAGGCTAACAAGATTATCCAGTCTTAAACCACAACTAGAAGAAAGACATTACTTGTGATGGGAGAGGTTCAAAGGTCCAGTTTAATCCTGATAACTTTAGGATGTTTCTTTGAAAGCCACTCCAAACCTCTCTGTTCTGGCAAAGTTACACAAGAAAACCTTCTCTCTGAAAAGTCACCTGATTTTGGTTAAGCTGCAAATGCCACAGGAGCAATTCCTGTCATGCTGGGTTTACATTTTCAGATGAAACCAGATATGTGTGTGTATATGTAACATCCACACAATGGTAATATAATACACCATAACAACAGATCAGATAAACTAGTTCAAATAAGGACCTCAGGAACATTGCTCAAAACTCATAGCGCGTGCGCCCGCGCGCACGCACACACACACACCCCACCCACCACGTGCGTGGATACCAACCTAAACTCTACATTTCAAGCCTAAGTGCCTAACTTCAAGCTCCTACGTTTTCGGAAGTGTTTCCAAGCTCTCACTTTGCACTACTATTGCTCGCCACCTTTGGAATTTCATGCTCCTTATTTATGGGGTTAAGTGCTTAACATTGGGCATCTATCTCCTACATCTGTCTCCTACAAAGGTCAGAAGCAGGAATAAGCCACTTGTTTCCTGCACTGCCATGGACACATCCCCCCAAGTTTAGAACTCCGAAGAAACCCAGTGGCCTATAAGGGAAACCGAGCAGCCTTAGGATCTCCAGAGCTAAATAGGCAATGGTGAACTGTTTAAAAACAAAAACACATGATACCACAGCAATCTCTTTTGCATTGTTAAATACACCAGTTCTGCAGCATTTGATTCAGGCTCAGAACTCTGCAGACAGAAGGATGTAAAGACACTGCACTGCTTTTTTTTCTTCTTCCCTTTGCTCTTCCCAGCGGTACAAGCAGCTTGCACCATTTGTCAGGCTTGTCCTCACTCCAATCCCCCTGAGGCTACAGCATTAAGAGAAAGCATGATTCTGCTTTTAGAGCAGTGTTTCAGAGCAGGGACAGGGAGCACAACCTGGGAGATGACAGCTGGGGGGAATAGGCAGTGGGGGAAGGGGAAGAGAGGGACATCAAAAGGCTCCCATTGCTGTGAATGGATCAAAAGCATATGGAGGGTCCTAAGTCAGGGCCTGAACCAGCTCACCTTTCTATTTACCACTGAACACATTGTTCAGCTAACTCAGCTGAGGACAACTCCCTGCTCCATGATAACGATCTGGCTATTCAGGAATATAAAGGCAGCAGATGGTGTGACTGTGGAGCTGTTATTAAAATGCATAGTACTGTACAGTGCATTTAAACAGAATGAAGTTAAAACTTAGCAGCATACACATCTGACGCCTGGACATTAAATTTCTGCTAAGTTAGCCTAGACACTTCCATTTGGTCTATTCTTTTTTTTTTTCTTTTTTGATTAAGGAAAAATCTCAGCATGTAAAAGTGACCAGCATGGAGAGATCAAGAATAATAAATGATGTGCTTCTCATCTGAGCATTTCCAATCACTTTACAAACAGCACAAGCCCCCTGGGAGTAGGTCAGTATTATTACAAAACGCAGGAGTAAGCTAGCCACGGAGAGGCGAAGTGTTTCGCCCAAGATCAAACAGCAGAGAAACAGAATTCAGGGGTTTAAACTTCTAACGGTTCACTTTAACAAGGCAACAACTGTTCCCCATCAATTCCTACATCTGTCCATTAGGGATGAACACAATGCCAACAATAGACATCAGATAGATTGAAGGAAGAAAAGAGAGAGGTGACTGTGAAGATGAAGTTGATGTAGCTGAACATTTTTGGTATCCAAATACCATGCAAATAATCAAGCTAACACCTTTGGCTTTCCTGTATTTGTCTCCCTGGACTGCCCACGACACATGCACCTTATAGCCTTCTAGTACAGTGCCACATATGTAGAATCAAACCTGGCACTTCAGCAAAGCCACCGAACTGTGCACAAACTGGATGAACTGGAATCAGCAGAAACTGGCCAAATCTTTATTTTCCCAGATCTATCACTGCCATGTTTTACAGATAATTTCATTAAAAAGAAAACCTCTCGCATATCAAAATTTTGCATTCTAATAGCCCCTTTCACTTGTGGACCTCAAAGCTTTTTACACAGCCTCAGAACATCTTGGCAAGCAAAGTTAAGCGCTATTCTTGTTTTAGAAATAAGGGAACTGAAGTGCAGCAAGACAAAAAACAAAAGGGGTGTATACAGGTGGCTTTTAATGAGACCCACAAAAGACTGTCTGTGCAGTCAATTGCATTTAGATTTATCTAGCTATCTGAGATCTATGTGGGTGCAAAATGGACCTCTGGCTTTAAAAATCTCTTCCTAAGCGACCTATCCTAGGTCACACCGTGAGTCAATGGAAGCCTCGAGTCCTGACATTATCCAGCAAACTATCCCTACAAAGTCAAATAGCACTATTTGAAGAAACAGTGAAATAAACCCTGGTTCTGCCATTATTAACAATAATAATTCCATAATGTATAACACGAGAGTCCGTTACAATTTTGCACAACCCATACAAGATTTTACATTTTCCTTTCGTTAGCTGTGTGGTGATCTGTTGGATTGTATTATGTTCACTTGCACAAGCTCAAGAGCAAAGGCAAACTGTGGGTTCCCTTGGTGCTTAGGAGATGAAATATCTCTTTTATTGCTTTGCCTCATGATAGTGCAAGCTCCATGTGTCACTCCAGCAACATAAAGGGAGGGGTGACTTTCTGTGATCCCCAGCTGGGGATTTCCCTAGCAGAGGAAACTTGGAAAGCTGGTATAGCTAGCTTCTATACTTCTCTGGGGGACTACTCCAGAGGAACAGCCAAGGTGGGAAGGAAGAGTAGCCAGAGTGTAATAGGCTCTGACTTATCTCCAGAAAGGTGGCAATCCATTGGTAACTCTGTTGCCATCTTGTGCAAATCAGAGCAGGCCCTAGGAATCAGGGAGCTCTATCTCAGTGTTTCTCAACCAGTGGTATGAGTACCCTTAGGGGGACTCGAGAGAAGTCTGGGGGGGTACATCAACACAACTGTAATTTGGAGAAAACTGAACTTTTGTTTTAAGTTTTACAGCGTTTTATTATTTTTGTACTTTTTACACTCAAAAATATCAATCGCCCACCTGGCTACTATTAAGTTGTTTAAACAAATGTGTTGCAATGGTAGAAAAAAAATGATGTGTGTGAAAACTGTAGGTACTGGGGGTAATTATTTTTTTTAAAGGAATACTTTATAAAAAAAAGGTTGAGAAACACTGCTTTGATTCCTGACAGGCCACTCTTCTCTGTTGTGCTCAGACCAGTGCAGAATCTGTCCCTAGGGTTGCCAGGTGTCCGGTATTGACCTGGACAGTCTGGTATTGACCTGCCTCCTGTCCGGTAAAAAAAATTCAGAAAATACCAGGCACCTAAAATGTCTGGTATTTTCTGGGTTTTTTTTCTCCTGCCAGGACCCGAAAATACCGGAAACCTGGCAACTGTATACACATACACTCAGCAACTGGGCCCAGCCCCCGCGTCCCCTGCTTACCTGGTTCTGCAGCAGGGAAGCGGTCTTCTGGCTTGGATTAGGAAAACAATATGGCCGCCGGCAAAAAGCCTCAAAGGCTTTTCTTAAAGGGGTCATGCTGTTTTATTTTTGTTTGTTTGTTTGTTTAATAACTCTGGAGGGTCCTTTTTTTTTCCCTCAACAATTTTGGTTTCCCCCCCTTTTTCCTCCCCTCAACAGAATTTTCTTCCAGGTGTTTTTTTTTGGGGGGGGGGGGGGGAAGTGGAGAGGAGTTCTGTATTTTTAGTTAAACCATCTGGCAACCCTATCTGTCCCTGAGTATTTTAAAAATGCCAGTGACCAGGAGACAGAGTCCTCAAATGTACTGGATAAGTTCAAAAAATTGAAAGCACGTCCATTTGGGTTACTACATATTTGTCAGGCTTAACACCAGGGTTTCTACTCCATTTTGAAGGCCACTTGTCTCATTTACATTGAAAATCTCTATACCCAAATTAGAAAGGGGGCAAAAAAATATTTAGTTCCAGACCTTGCCAAGTATGGGATGCTCTGTACTATTTCTCAAATAACATGCACTCTTCAATGAACTTCAAAATCCCATTATTCATGACACTGCCCAGGTTGTTGCCAAGTGAATGGGAGCAGATGTTTAAAGGGGGATCTTTTATAATGATTAATGCACTCTAATTACATCATTGTTCAGGGATTTCATTAGCCATTGTCTGATTGATGATTTTTCTATTGTTTTTCCTCTGCTTGCTTTTGTAATACCAAAGTCATATCCCACTTCCCAGTATTTGTTCTTTATCACTTTTTTCTTTAAATGTGTATTTTGGCATGTACAAAAGGTAACTGCATGCAAAACGCAAACCTGTGTGTGCATTCTGTGTGCAAGTTTATCTTTTTGAGCGCTAATCCCTGTCTCTCACACACCGTTGCTAGTTTGTGCACAAGTAAATCTTGTTCAACTACTACATTTTGAAAATGTTACACTGACAGCCTAAAGAAAATCCCCAGTAAAACAGGGGAGCCTACATGAACATGGGGTCAGCAAAATGATAGGTGAGATGAGGAGTTTTC